GCGTTCGTCACTTCTGAGCGGCGCATGCGCAACGCTGACCCCATACCTCATGCTCCCGGAACTGCTTCTGTTTACAACTGTTGGCGCAAGCTAGATTCAAGTAATTATTACGTTTTGAATATGGATATTTTTCTTACACAAAGGCATTGATTCACTTCGGAAGAAACCCCGGAGCTGTGTGGAGCACTTTTTATGATGGATTTATGCACATTTATTGGACTTCATCCATCCAACTTTATCTTAAACCTCATTCACTGCCATTATAAAGCTTGGAAGAGCCAGGACATATTTTAAAGGGGTCATATGATGCGATTTTATTTTTTCCTTTCTCTTTGGAGTGTTACAAGCTCTTGGTGCATAAAGAAGATCTGTAAAGTTGCAAAGACTAAAGTCTCAAATCCAAAGAGATATTCTTTATAAAAGTTAAGAGTCAGCCACGCCTACCTAAAACGGCTCGTTCTAACACGCCCCCACATGTCTACGTCACTAATTTGCATTATTTGCATTACGCCGCCCAAATGTTCACGCAAAGAAAGGCGGCCTAACTTTGATTCTCGCTTTGCTGCCGCTGCTACCGCCGCCATGTCGTGAAGGCGCTGTGTGTTTCGTTGTGAAAACGAAAAGGACATGACTAGAAATCAGTGGTTAAGTTGTATTTACAACACTGTTCCAGAACAGTTTAACCCAAATATTCAGATGTGTGCAGTGCATTTTATGGAGGACTGTTTCCTGATCCTGGTAGAGTAGACTACAATGCCGTCTGTTCTGACTCACAGTCTGTAAGTATGTTTTCATATTTAAAGAATTTGCCACTGATGATTCAAACGCGAGTTTTGAGCAGTGTAGAGTAGCGCTTGTTGTTTGTCATTTCTCCGATCACAAATGCAGACATGGTTTTGTTTACGCGTTGCGATTCGCAATGCAACGCGTAAAAAGACAGTATAATCAGTCATTATAATCAGTAATTATGTCCCCACTGGATGCAACAAATGCCTCGTTTATTTTATTGTTTTATTGGGTTTTATTGTTTTTGTCTCGTCGCGCCGGGAAATAAACACATTTCATTACACCAAATACACAAAATAATGATCTTTTTTAGCAACTTCACATGACCCCTTTAACATCAAATCTGATAAATTCACAGAAAATAATTAAGATACACACAAAACTAAAATAGGTTTTGTGTAAAACATATTTTTAACGATCAGTCAGAAGTTTGGGGTCAGTAAGATTTTTTTAAAGAAATTATATTATTTAAATTTTTTTTTTTTTATATACTTTTATTCAGCAAGGATTAATTTAATTGATCAAAAGTGACAGTAACATTTGTTATGTTTGGCAAAAAAAAACTTAAATAAGTGGTGTCATTTTGAACCCGAAAATTTTTTATTAAGGTTTCCACAAAAATATGAAGCAGCACAACTGTTTTCAACATTGATAATAAGAAGTAATGTTTCTTGAGCAGCAAATCAGCATATTAGAATGATTTCTGAAGGATCATGTGACACTGAAGACTGGAGTAATGATGCTGAAAATTCAGCTTTGATCACAAAAATAAATTACATTTTAAAATATATAAAAAATAAAAAACAGTTATCTTAAATTTTAATGATATTTCACAATATTACTGTTTTTACTGTATTTTTGATCAAATAAATGCAGCCTTATTAGCATAAAAAATAAAACATTACAAAATCTTACCTACCCCAAACTTTTGAATGATAGTATATATATATATATTGTTTTGTTTTTTGTTTGTGTTATGGTCATAGGTTTTTGAAGATGGCATGTACCTGTTTTTCTGTTTCTGATGACGAAGAAGAAGGGGTGGTCAGCCATGACCTGTGGGTACAGCACCAGCGTCCTTGTCAATGCAATCATACCTGTAGGAGGGCAAACAATAGTGGATCAGTGATGCAAAACAATTATTTACATTGTTTTATTTTATTTATGCTCTTCTACAATGAACAATAATTAAAATGAAAATTATTAGTGATATTTTTTGGTGGGCTTAAAATGTCTAGATGGTGTAAAAAAAAGTCTCATTCAATATGTTTAGCATGACCTTTTTATAAAATATTATTATTTAAAATATTTATTATATAAAATATTTATTAAGAAAACTGAAAAAACTGAAATATCACATTTTCCCACAAACTCTCAAGGCCTGTACATTCATACATACATAAGTTTTTAAAATATCAAATATTATATATATATATAAGCTTAGTTTAAATTTGCTGATTTAAAGGTACACTATTTGAATAATTAAACAATTTTATCTGAAAATGGTACAAAATAGGAATATTAATGTAATATGAAGCTAACATAAATACATAAATAATTATTTTTAATTCCTTTTCATAATCTCAGACCTTCTTATTTGTTTTTGACATCAACGCAGAACTGAAAACTGATATTAAAAGGATTTAACCAACACTACATTAACCTTTCATAAACCTTAATTAAAAAGACATGTTGAACAGGAGGGGGCGCTTTAGTATGTGTGAATGTACAAGATTCACAAAGCAATTTACTGCAGTGAGAAAAATTAGAAATGCAAAGGATGACTGAATTGTGGAGGAAGACAGAGTGAGAATATTAAATGTGTAATGTAATTAGAGTAAAATGTGGCAGTATGAAAAAATGGAAATGGAAATAAATGTCACCTGATCCTGCCGCCCCCTCGGCACCTTCCTCGGTCACCTCCAAGTAAGCCTTCTGCACAGCCTTCCCGATAAACAGATCCTGTCCATCTGTAAACAAGCAGAAAATATAAGTGAAGAAGGTTACAGAATATGAAAAAAGGCTGAAAGTGCTTAAGTTATTTCCATTTATTTATGAGCTGGTGTAATCAGGGATGCAGAGTGGTGTATGATGAGAATAATGAACATTCACAGACTACAGTTTCATAGGCATATTTAATACTGAAATAAATTGACAATTTGAGCATTAAAAAAAAATAGTAAAACAAATTAATAATATTGAACATAAAAATGTGTCAAATAAAATAATAATATTGAACAAGCAAAATGAATAAAAATAAAATAACAATATTGAAGCTGAAAAATTGCCATTAAGGTATTTTTATTTTACTTTGATTCTTGGATAAATTAAAGATAAATAAATAAATAAAACACAACTTTGTTATTTTCACCACACCCAAAACAAAAGCCCTTTTCAGTTGAATAAAAATGGCTGGTTTCATATTTATTTTAGTTTAGATTATTCAATATTAAAAAAAAATTAAAGTTAAAGTTTGATATGACCTTTTGGTTTATAATATTTTAATGTTTAAAAAATGTTGACCAAAACATAAAACAGGAGATATTACATTTCCCCACAGATCCTCAAAATTGTCAGTAAGATATATATATAAGATATATATATTACTTTGATTCTTAAAAAAAAACAAAAAACATACCCAACCACACCCAATACAGAAAATTTGATAATGATGATTATTATTACTATTATTATTATTATTTGCTTGTGCAAGCAAAAATCACTACCACAATGCTGGTTGGTTGCCAGGGCAAAACAAGTGCGTTACATCCCGTCCTTGAGCCGTCAATCACATCTTGAGCATCTGTGTGCATGTGCAGAATAGCAGAGCGTTCCCATAGGTCAGGGCGTGTGTTTTTTATCGATTACCTGTCATCTCGGCTGTCATGGCCGACAGATCGGCATCTTTAGTGAAGATGCTCTTGATGCCCAGCTGCTGCAGAGTGTCTCTCAGATCAATCTTTTGTTCCACCTTGAACCTAAATCAATCCAAATGATCAGGTCAGAGTGAACTTTGTCCAGAAAGAAGAAGTATACAGGTTCTACATGAATCAAATCTAAAAGCAAATGTATTGATAAATGAGATGAAAACACTGTGTGACTCACCTGGGCAGGTAGACCTCCACCTTCTGCCTCTTGACGTTGTTGGCCCACTCCTCCAGCAGCTGGGCTTTGATGATGGGCTCCAGGGAGGCCAGAGGAACCTCCTGACGGGGCAGAACGATCATCATGCTCATGTCTTCACCTTCATAGAGCATCTCCAGCACCTGGTACACTCCACCCACCTCTGTGGTGCCATCGCTGAACTCTCCTGAGGATGAAGGACACGGTGAGGTTAGTGATTATTACTGTATGTTTGAGGATGGAAAGGACTTCAGTTAGATGAAGGTGGATCAGTGTTATTAGAGTTTTTGTTAATATTTTGAATTAGATTTATTTGTATATTTTCTGTTTTCACAAAGTTTTTGTAATTTTTACTTTATTTAAATATGTCTATATAGTTTATATTATTCTTCATTTATTATTTTTAGGTTATTTAGTCTTAGTTCTTTTAGAAAAAAAAAAATACAAAAAATTAAGTTAAACTAAAAAAAAGAAATGTTGCCTTGGCTAACTATTTAATTTTTTTTATATTTTATTTAAATTTTTTATTTTGAGTAACAAAATTATTTTTTCTGGTTTTAGTTTTTGTTAACAATAATAACCCTGAGATGGACAACAGAATTAGTGTGACTGTTATTGTAGTAGGCATGGGCCGATTACTGGTTTCAAGGTATACCGCGATTTGAAAGTCTCAAAACCGCTAATATTTTCCGTTACACCATTCCTGCGGTATGTGCTGTTTTTCAGGTCTCCTCAAAGACTGAAAGTGTAGGAATCCCTCAGGTTGAGTGCAGTGTAGAGAGTAACACGACTCTCCTCCTCCTGTTGGTGCGAGCGAGCGGTCAGTCACGTGTGTGTATGACAGCCGAAGGAGCTTCCTCTGGAACTTACGCGATCGGCAACCAGCCGTTTATTGTTTTATTGCAGCCGATCTCTGTTCTGGACTTGCACAAACTGCGTTGCAATGCATATCATTTTCCAAATGTAGTTTATGTGAAAATATGAAGTCTGTAAACGCCCGTTTATAGTTATATAAAACTATATATAAGTCTATTATGCTCACCAAGACTGCATTTATTTGACCAAAAATACAGTAAAAACAGTAATATTGTAAAATATTGCAATTTAAAATAACAGTTTTCTATTTGAATGTTTTAAAATATAATTTATTCCTGTTATGTAAAGCTGAATTTTCAGCATCATTACTCCAGAGACATGCTGCTCAAGAAACATTTACTATTATTGTCAATGTTGAAAACTGATTTGCTGTTTAATATTTTTGTGGAAACCCTGATACATTTTTTTCCCCAGGATTCTTTCAATCAAAAGAACAGCATTTATTTATTTTATGATTGATTGATTGATTATTTGTAAGTCTTTACTCTCACTTTTGATCAATTTAATGCATCTTTTCTAAATAAAAGGACTGCATTTATTTGACCAAAAATACAGTAAAAACAGTAATATTGTAAAATATTGCAATTTAAAATAACAGTTTTCTATTTGAATGTTTTAAAATATAATTTATTCCTGTTATGTAAAGCTGAATTTTCAGCATCATTACTCCAGAGACATGCTGCTCAAGAAACATTTACTATTATTGTCAATGTTGAAAACTGATTTGCTGTTTAATATTTTTGTGGAAACCCTGATACATTTTTTCCCCCAGGATTCTTTCAATCAAAAGAACAGCATTTATTTATTTTATGATTGATTGATTGATTATTTGTAAGTCTTTACTATCACTTTTGATCAATTTAATGCATCTTTTCTAAATAAAAGTTTTTGTTTCTTTCATACAAAAAAATCTTACTGATCCCAAACTTAGAACAGTATGCTTCTTCTTACGTGACTGAATAGAATAATATATATATTATATTTATATTATAACAGTGATCAGGCCTAAAGTTTATAAAATTATTTTAAACTTTCAGGCTAATCTTTTAAAGCCAACATTCAAATTTTGTCTTGATTTACTTTCCCTGAAATCAATCTATAGGAAAATATGTACAGTGAATTAAGAAAACAAATAATCAAAAACTACTGATTCAAGCTTGTTGAACATACCATAATAGAAATCTCCCTGCTGGTACATCATCAAGGTCTGAACTTCACTGCCATCGTCTTTGGTGAAGGAGAAGGTTCTGGTGTTTTCTGGTCTGAACTGGTTCTTCCAGCTGCCCCTGAAGTACACCGCATTCACTAACATGATCATGGTGGAGCTGCTGAAGTCGTCCGCAGACACCAGGTTGTGGATTTTGCCTGCAACGACAACAAAAACCCAGACTGAAATAAACGTTGCACGTCACAATCCTCTGTTTCTCAGAACAGGAAAGACGGCATGATCTCTTCAGTGGCATACAATCATCTCTCTTCCAAAGCTCTGGGATTTGTGCTGCTATCTGACAGTCCTGCAAACGCGAAAGCTGACTGTGAGAAAATGGATCTGCCTGGAAATGTCATTATCATGCAGAATATGACTGACCTGCCATTATCTACTTTAGTATCCTCCTTTACTAAAGTCATAGTAATTCCTCTTAACACCATCCATTCATTTTGAAGAGAGTTTTACTTGAAAGTAAAATCATTCTAAATGGGATTATAAACTATGACTATATTCAGCGGTTGAACGGCATATAATCTAAAAGGTAAACATTAAGGCTTATTATATATTCATTTACAGCATGGTTCAAAAGTTTGGGGAAATTAATACTTTTATGCATTAAGGATGCATTCAATTGATTAAAAGTGACAGTAAATACATTTATAACATTATAAAATATTTCTATTTCAAATAAATGCTGTTCTTTTGAGCTTTCTATGCATCAAAGAATCCTAGAAAAATGTGTCATAGTTTCCACAAAAATATGAATCAGCACAACTGTTTTCAACATTGATAATAATAATAATAAATGTTTATCAAGGAGTAAACCAGCATATTAGAATGATTTCTGAAAGATCATGTCACACTGAGGACTGGAGTTATGATGCTGAAAATCCAGCTTTGTCAGGAATAAATTACATTGTAAAACATATTCCAAACAACAGTATTTTAAATGTGAAATATTATTACAAATATTTCTGATTTTACTGTATTTTTTTACACAAATAAATGCAGCCTTGGTGAGCACAAGAGACTCCTTTCAAAAAAAGTTAAAAAATCTTGCAGATCCCGAACTTTTGCACATGTGTGTAGATAACTATATATAAGAATTTTCTGACTTCTACTCTGTCTATTAGCTTTGAGGCCATCTATATACTTCTACTTGTACTTACAAAAGAACAAACTTTTCACTACATCCCAACTTTCTATGTCAATAGGAAAGACGTCAATACAAGAATAAAAACTTTGTTTGTCAAGCCATCAGGATACTATTTCAAATACGTAATAGCACGCATCCAGTTTGAATATTTTCTTTCCTCAGTGATGACAGATGACTTACTCTCCGTGTGGTTCAGGACCCAAGAGTTGATGCGTTCAGCCACGGCTGCTGATTGGCTGAAGTCCACCGTCTCCACCTCCGCTTTGAAGTACTTCTTCATGAGCTGCAGGAAGTCCTCGTTGAAGTGAACCCCCGTCTGCAGAAAGAGGGAGTTGGCCAGCCGTACCACGTACTGCTCTTCATCTGTGGACAGGGCCTGGGTCAGGTTGCTCAACAGAGAGAACTCCTCATCTGAAGTAGGTGCAGACAACAAGAAAAGGCTTTTGTACAATGTGCTGCAATATTACTGTCATGGAAGTAATAATCCCATTCAAAATTCTGAATCTCACTAAACCTGTCAAGAACATGTCTGGGTCATAATTCACTGCAAAAATCAAAAGAAAAAAGTAAAAACTCATTACTGTAATGCTATATATATATATACAGCGGGGAAACTATTAATTTGATCCCCTGCTGATTTTGTAAGTTTGCCCACTTACAAAAAAATGAAGGGTCTGTAATTTTTATGGTAGGTTAATTTTAACCCAACCAACAAATCCAGAAAAAATACATTATATAAAGGTTAGAAATTGATATGAATTTCAGTGAGTGAAATAATTATTTGATCAATTGTTGCACTGCCTTTAACTGATGTAGAATCACTATTAAGAATAATGGGAATAAAAATGTATGTGGAAAATTTGCTTAATTGTAATGAAGAATAGGCTTCATTTTCTTTGATGCAAAATATTATTAATGTTGTTCTTCTTTTGATTTGTGGGTAAAATGTGACTTGAAAGGTTTATACAATTAAATATCATAAAAACACCTGTACATTTTTGTGCTTTGAATCAAATGTTGTAACGTTATGATTGGTTTCTAAGCGGTTTGGTTTGCTACAGAATTTTTTTAAATGCCTATGGAGAAAGTGAATGGGGAAAAAGTGGGTGGTCGCTGTTGTAACCAATAAGAAAAACTCAGAAGCTAAAGATTAAAGAGAACAGGTACTATATGTTTTCTAGATAACTGTACCTTCTCTGAAATGACTGTAGCCCACGGCCTGTCTGATCTCCTCTAAAGAAGAGCCGTGGGCGCCCAGCTCCACCATGCCCAGAGCCAGAGCCACGCTCAGAGGCGAGAAGATGATGTTCTCCTCTCCCTCCGTGATCTGGAGCTGGTGGTACAGTCTGACTGAGAACTCTGCCGTCACATCCTCGGGAACGTCTGCCGCCTGGCAACCGCACCCCCGAAGCAGCATCAGCGGCAAGAGTCCGAGCAGCAACATGGTAAACGAGGGACGAGCTGACGAGAGAGAGGGGAGAAAGAGTGAGTCAGGTCAGAGCTAGAAGGACATCTATATCATGGAAATATTTTCTATATTCTAACATATTCAAACACTCACAATGCAAAACTTCCTTGTTCAGCCAGAACATTTACGGAAACTAAAGGCTGGTATATACTACAGGACCTTTTCACTGATTTTTGCAGTCTGGAAGAGCCAGTCTGCAGATTTTCATAAGTCAGAGTTGACAGATTTCACAATGAATTTCATAGTGTATGATGGCCACAAACTCAGAACTGTGATTCAGTCCAGCCAGAGGATATTACACATGTTTGATATTTTGAGCCGATTTTAGAACACATTGTTTTAATTTGTCATGTGTCTCAAAGACCTTGACGAATTGAAGGTCTGTTAATGTGTATTCCTCAGCCGTTAAGTGTTTGAAGCCCAGATTTTTACTGCAAAATCTGTTTGAATTTGAAAAGTCGTGTTGTGTTTTTTCAGCCTTAAAGGCTAGAGGTTAAAGGCTTAAAGGGGTCATATGATGCGATTTCAAGTTTTCCTTTCTCTTTGGAGTGTTACAAGCTGTTCGTGAATAGATAAGATCCCTAAAGCTGCAAAGACTAAACTCTCAAACCCAAAGAGATATTCTTTATAAAACTTAAGACTGGTCCACGCCCTCTTATAACGCCTCGTTTAAACACGCCTCCACATGTCTACATCACGATGTGGGAAGATTTGCATAACGCCGCCCAAATAGTCACGCAAAGAAAGAAGGCGTAACTTTATTGTTGCTGCCACCGCCGCCGCCATGTTGTGAAGACGCTGTGTGTTTCGTTGCAAAAGCGAAAATACTTTGTTTGGCCTTCCAAAAGAGGACACGACTAAAAATCAGTGGTTAAGTTGTATTTACAACACTGTTCCAGAACAGTTCAACCCAAATATTCAGATGTGTCCAGTGCATTTTATGGAGGACTGTTTTCTGATCCTGGTAGAATAGACTACAATGCCAGCTGCACAGTCTGTAAGTACGTTTTCATATTTAAAGAATTTGCCACTGATGATTCAAACGCGAGTTTTGAGCAGTGTAGAGTAGCACTTGTTGTTTGTCATTTCTCCAATCACAAATGCAGACATGGTTTTATGTTTACGCGGCGCGGCGCGATGCAACGCAACGTGTAAAAAGACAGTTTAAGTCATTATAATCCGTAATTATGTCCCCACTGGATGCAACAAATGCCTCGTTTAAAATGGGTTTAATGTTTTTGTCTCCGGGACACGGCATCACAGTATGGTAGGGGCGTAACATTTCCGTCACACGCTTGAGGTATTCGGCCAATCACAACGCACTGGATAGCTGGCCAATCAGAGCACACCTCGCTTTTCAGAACAATGAGCTTTGTAAAAATCGACGTGTTTCAGAAAGTTGGGGCATAGAGGAGAAACAATAATGGTATGTGGAAAATAATGTGTTTTTTTAACCTTAAACTGAATAAACATTTCATTACACCAAATACACAAAATAATGTTCTTTTTAGCAACATCATATGACCTCTTTAAAGAACCAAACCATTGATGGTAGCCATTGACCTTCCATAGTAAAAAAAAATTACTATGGAAGTCTATTGCTACAAATCAACGGTTTGGTTTTGGTGACTTTTACTGAATCCATTTGTAATGAATCACCTTTATTACATCAAACCATCCTCTTATTCAACCATGCAAGTACACGAGGGAATGAAATTGTGTTTCTATTGTTACAGTTACTGGTGCAATTTTACATAATGTATGAAATTTGAGAATAACCTGTTTCACTCTGCATAATGCGCCACATAATGGAAGTAAAAAAGGGGTTTGGATGCAATAGTGTAAACAGTCTCGCTTCCACACGGGGTTAATGCCTCTGTTTCTCCCACTGGGTAGCCATTGACCTTCCATAGTAAAAAAAAATTACTATGGAAGTCTATTGCTACAAATCAACGGTTTGGTTTTGGTGACTTTTACTGAATCCATTTGTAATGAATCACCTTTATTACATCAAACCATCCTCTTATTCAACCATGCAAGATGCAATAGTGTAAACAGTCTCGCTTCCACACGGGGTTAATGCCTCTGTTTCTCCCACTGACTGCGCAGCCACCGCTCAATGCACCAGCAAATACCTGCTCATGCAAGTGAACAAACCCACATATGCACAGATATAGCCCTACCTTCATCCTCGCATGGCACAGTCTCCCTGCTTTAGTCGTTGCCTGGCAACAGTGTTTTCCACACAAACTAAGAATGCAAGGGAGAATGTGGCCTTGTGCCACTGTGTGATGTAGAGAGAGAGAGAGAGAGAGTGCGTGTGTCAAGTTGTTCTAAACCTGTATGAATTTTTTTTTTCTGTATGAATAAAAAAACCTTATTGACAGCAGTGACACTGGACCCAAGCATTTAAAAAAAATGCTGCCATAAACTTTTATTATTAATTCAGTTTGTCATTGAACAGAAAATGACAGACACATGATACACTGGACCTACACATTTAAACAAACATAGGTCAACTCCAAACATATAAGCTAACAACAGAAGATTAAAATGGCTGAAGCAATAAAATAAACCCTCTACTTAAAAATAGTACTGTGTTTTATGGTGTTAAAATGGTGATGTTTCCGTGCAGTTGCTAGGGTGTTGTGGGTGATTAACAGGGTGTTTTTTTGGGGTTGCTAGGGTGTTATGGGTGCTTACTAGGGTATTGCTATGGCGCTGCTATGCAGTTGCTTGCTTTGCGAGGTTGCTATGGTGTTCTGAGTGGTTTTAGTGCATTGCATTGCAATGTATTTACATTTTCTTTTATTCAAAGCGACATACAGTGTGTTTAAAAGTCCTATTAAGATGCTATTTAAGTCTGAAGCACTAATCAGTCATTGATTTCAAATCTATCAAAACTGTATTTCACATGCATCTTTTCAGCACCAGATGGAATTCAAGAGAAACAAGCAACTGATTCACAAAGCTGGTCCACAATCCACAGAAGATTCATCTGTTCTCATTGCTTGAGCTTTCTTGATCTCTCATGACCTGAACGCTGTATCTCGGATTCTCTTGGTTTCAGACTTATGCACGCAGGCTTGTGTAACTGGACCTGACCCTGGTGACCGAGGTCTGGACTGAAACACAGATGGCCGCTTGTGAGCGGTGGGGACAAGAGAAGGTACACGTGAAAACAGCACCAGACCTGCCTGACCTTTCGCTCATTCTGGACAAAGGTCTGCCGGCCACCTGGGAGAAGTCAACGAGACCACCAACCACACTAATGCTCCAACCAGAAAGAAATCAACAACAAAGAAATCCTGAGCTGTCCTTTCTGATCTGCCAGGTGAAAATAACATGCCGCAAAATCTGAGATACCATTAATGAGGTATAATTTATAGCATAAAAGTGAGGAATGAGTTAGATGGCAAAGTTTAATATTTTTGTTCAAATCACTAAGAAACTGCCAGTGTTTTTATTACCTCAACGCACTGATATCTGGCACTCATCTAAAGCAAAGTCGAGTCAAACTTCTCAGAGTCTGCTCAAGTGAAATCAAGCTTCAAAGTGCCACAAAACACTATTCCTTTCACACATGCACAGAGCAATTGCTCTAAATATGTCCTATATCCTCCCAGCTGCCTTCAAACTGTACTAACAAGCACATAGTCAAGACGTTTCTGAAATGGGGGCAGCGTAAGAGACCTTTTCTAGCTCTTACTTTTTTACGCTTTTCATTTTGAGCTGGAGCTGAAACACGAGAGAGCAGAAGGATACATAGTTTGTTAGACTAACTAACAGCATCATGAATATCCATGCAAATATCCAGTGCAACTTAATTAATGCATGGTGTTTCTAGTGAAGTTGACCAAGTATGTCTTACTGGTAAAGGTAGTAAGAAGTCAAGTGGAAACACCAGAATGAAAAAGTGTTCAAGTGTTCATCACGGATTGCATAACAGCAAGTGTTATGCAATCCGTGATCTAAAACCTAAGCAACAGGAAATGAGATTGAATATGACCACCTACTTGGCTTGTCCAGGTTTTGAGTTACATTAGTTACTATAAACCAACCAGTACTGTATTAATATTAAGGAATTTTCTGTATGTATGTATTTTTATTTTTATTTTTTTTACAGATGTTTTACCTGTATTTTAAATTGCGCACTGCATTGCGTTGTATTTTAGGGTTAACAGAAATATCCGTAAAAAAATAATGACAGTAGTCAAAAGTTTGGAAGAATTAACATTTTTAAAAGTCTCTTATGCTCACCAAGGCTGCATTTATTTGATCAAAAATACAGTAAAAAGAGTAATATTGTGAAATATTAATACAATTTCAAATAACAGTTGTCAATAATATTATATTTAAATGTAATTTATTCCTGATGGCAAAGCAGCAGCCATGACTCCGGTCTTCAGGAGTATATATTTTTATATTTTTCTTATAATGTAAATTTATATAATTGCACATCATTGCTTGACAAATCAGAGCACAATTTGTGGTACTGACAAAAATCTGAGAAGCAGACATCTCCATTTGCTCTCCATTTAATCTCACTGCTGGCTAGAAGAAACAACTAAGGTATTACAGAGATCTCCAAGTTCATTTTTCTTTTCTAAGCAGAGCAAAGTTTTACATTTTTCATCTTTAATAAGGGAGGCAAATCAAAGCAAACAAACATGGCTTTCCATCAAGTTTGGAATGGAGCTCTTATTTCCCAAAGATGATCGTTCATTCATTCAGATGGATCTGTCATCATCAGAGCGAGAAACACAGTTGGTGGCACCAGGACACTCTACCCACATCCATCAGCCACCTTTTTCCTGACAGGATGGCCCAGATAGAGCAGAGCATGCTGGGTAAACTGCCATCTCTCTCCCCTCCCTGCTCCAGAAGCCTCCAATATTTTTATATTTTTCTTATAATGTAAATTTATATAATTGCACATCATTGCTTGACAAATCAGAGCACAATTTGTGGTACTGACAAAAATCTGAGAAGC